TCCATTTACTAGGAAGCAAGCTGATGAGATTGTCCTCTACCTCCTATTCTAATTTCCCAGAGTACCACATCAGGTTACTTCTGTTTTTTTTTCCTTCTGCCCAGACATATACACTCCTAAAAAGAGCACAAGAATAAAACTCATACCATATATTTATTTTCTAAGAATGTCTTCAGGATATATAGGGGCCCTTGAAGTATTATTGGAAATAAAGATTAGAATTAAGGTTTGCACTTTGCTTGACACCATGCTTGCTTGTTTTTTTTTTAATTAAAAGAATCATAAAGTATATGACAAAATGCAACAGTAATGCTGCAACATAATTATCTGTAAACTGCATCACTGTGACAGCATAGATAACTAGAAAACAGGTCACCAAATCAGTACAGTAGAACAATTTACAATATCCCAGAATTATCAATTAATAAGTAAAAACAAGTATATTTAACTAGCTGTTCATCAAAAAACCACCGTTAGAAGAGAGCATCAAACAAAATAACATGTCAAAGAAAGTTTTTGCTCTGTGCCAGGGAACTACAGTAAGCAGGACATTATTAGGTTCTGTTTTTCTTCATAAAATAGGCAACACTGAACTTGCTTATCTATACTTTATTAAGGGTAGAACTTTGGATTTGAAGGATTATAAGAGATGTATGTTTTGAACACACATACATTTCCAAACTGTTTTTGCTAAGTGAGCACACAACAGCTTCATATGACATACTTATTTTTCAATTGTACCATTTCAGGCAACAACGAAGAGACCAAAATGCTGCCTTGCAGAAAGAATAACCAGAAATACATTACCCCTATCCAATCTTGTAGGAAAAATATTTACCTTTAAATAAATGTTTTGGGAGCCACACACTGTAGTGTTTCAATATGAAGCAACGTTAAGTAATGAGCAAAACCTGGTTCTTATAACCAAAGATAGTTCAGGAAGGTATAGAAAGGAACAAATATGGCAACTAAATTGAGATTTATTTTTAATTTTATCCTTTTTCTATATTCTTTTAAATTAATAGATGGAAGGGAAGAAATGCAGAGTCTTCCCTTCCATCCATTAATTTAATACCATGTTAATTTAATTTTAATACTTGA